GCTTGCTGTCACAAGGCGCGTCCGTCCTGTTTGGGGTGTCGGGTGGTGTCGCGGGGGGGGGGGGGGATTCATATGTCATGCTGCATGTCACAGGGCCATCATGGTATGCTCTCCATCTGCTCAGATACCCTGAACCAGCCACTGCAGCATGACGGACGGAGGGAGAGGACTCAAGGGGAGAAAAGAAGATTCCCCAAAAAGGAACTACACGCCTTGTGACAGCAAGCAAGACTCTGAGCTGGACGGTAGCCATCTTGGAAAAAGGCTGACAAGACACTGATCAGCCTCCTGGAAGTACAATCCAGACAAAGACGGTCAAACTCTAAAATATTCTTGTGCCGGTACGAACAGGTTTCTTTCCAGGCTGCATAAAGTATGTCAAGGGTTCAAAGGTCAGCATTAATCCTCATGCATGAGTAAAGCCATCTGTTCACTACATGTTTATACAGACATGTGCCACACAAGACAACATTAACAGCATCTTTAAATGATTCAACTGAATGCATTACATTTCAGTAAAAGGTTGTGTATAAATGAACACCAGTGAGAGATATTCTGCATGAACTGTCTGTTAGTAATGAATGTTCCCTTCTCTCTGGTGTAAGTTTGACTTTTTGTAAAAGAAATACTGGGCTGAAGTTGTACAATGGCTGTCAGCATTGTGAAGCGCAACATCCAGCGAGGTTCTTCCCCTCAATGGGCTTCACTGACTTCTCAGGTAACAGCGTGCGGACAGAGGCCCCGGGGAACTCAGGGGGACGACACTGTATCCTCTGAGCCCGACTAGATAACTGTGGCCTCCAACTGACACCGCTCCGTCTGCGAGACTCTCGTGTCGGAGGCAGACGGAGAGAAAGAGTGCTGGATGAACAGCAGCTGTAGAGAGCTGTGATCACACAGGGCTGTCATGGTGGGAGGAAACCATGTGTCTTAACACCGGGGCGACCGCAGCTGAAAGAGCTGATGGCTCAGAACCGCTCTGTTTGAGGACGCCACGTTAATGCCAACACTCAGTGATGGGATTCACACACAATAGCACTTCTTATAGAGGGGAGAGAGCTGAAGAACGGATGCAAGGGGACGAGAGTGGATAGAAGGGTGTATAAGAAAAGCCAGCCGAGTTCAGGAACAAAGCAAACCAAAGGGTCAATCTTAGTAATTCTACTTCTTATTGACTGAGGCTAAGTACTCGGCTGTTGCCCTTCGGCTGCCTAAATTGCAGTGAACTAACTGTTAAGTCAGCCTTATTGTTAACCGACAAAAAAAAGGCCGTATGAACAATGGACTAGATACTGCTGACAGTGATAACTTAATGATGCGGAGAGCTGCAATCTTCTCTTGTGGAATCAATAAACGCATGCCAAACACAGCAGCCGTGGCAGGTTTGGGTTGGATGACACGGTTCTCCATTGTAATACGCTTCCTGTTAAATGTCAGGGAAAAGGCAGAGGTTCCGACCCCATGCCAGAGGACCATCTGGAAAATAACAGTGTGCAGCCACAGCTGAGGGCCACACTGTAATACTATGAAGGGCATCTTCTCAAAATGTTCTATGGAAGCAGATATTATAAACGCACTTTCATTTCCACCACGGGAAAAATGATTTCCCACCCGAACGTCAGTGCAAAGATTATGCCAGTATTTTCCAACCCCTGGCTGGATGACGTCACTAAGGGTCTCCTTGTGACTTCTGGGGCCACGGGTGAAAGGGGGTAGACAGTACTAAATAAACCTATGGCATGCCTTTGGTGCACAACAACTCTGCATAGGACCCCATCCATCTGGTGGGTAGCAGCATCATTTTAAGCTTCAGCTGAATAATTAGCGTCTCTTTCTGTTGCTTGCTATTCGAATGAACTTATGTTAAACCGGGTTTGCCCAGCGAGCACTAAGCGGTGTGTACATAGGGCTTGTTAGCCAAACGGGTGAAGGTCATCTAGTCGAAGCCTTCGGTATATTTACACAATCAAAACCACACCGGCCACTGTTCAAACTCAACGAGCACACAAGCCACGCACTAACAATCACTCACATTTAACGTTCAGCAGTTGTGTAAAGCCATATTTAACCCTCCGGACAACTTACAATGTATGCCATTCAAACCAGCTGAAGCTAAAAGTCATTAATATGCCGCGTCATACTCAAAAAGCAGACTAATTAGGCCTTTGATCAGACACACACTCATTTGCATTAGCTCTGGGCTAGCTAGCGCTGCAGGTGCACTTCATTCTTGCCAGAAAGGAGACGAGGAGAGAGAAGAGACTGATAGGTTTCTCTGGCAGCGCCCTCAGATCAGACACAGAGGACTCTTTAAGGGCTCCGGCAGAGGGATGCCTGGACTCGGGTGCCAACACATAGTAGAAGAGATGGGGGGGGGGCTAATGTGGAAGCTAATGGATGCACCATAGATGGTGCTTCCCTTCTTAAATGGTTCTTACAAACCATCTTCAGGGGACTGCATGAGATTGATCATTTCAAAGATTAGAGAGATATTCTCTTCAGGGGATATTTGTATTTTGGGGGGGGCAATCATATTGGGTTATGCATGAGGGATTCCAGTTTCTACATTTAAATCTCACTCTTTCATAATGAAAGAAATCTACACAAGCCACATTTAGCTGCTTCACATTTTTAAACAGTAAATACATTTTCCACAATTTTCCTGAAAACCACATTCTTTCCCCCCATAGT